CATGCTTCACCACCTCACTAGTATTTCTACTGAAGAACACATTTGATTTTGCAAGATTTACCCTTTGTCCAGAAAAACTTTGATAAACTGCAAGCACCCTCAACAGACTCAGAGCATTTGGTTCATCAGCAGCACAAAAAACTAATGTATCATCAGCAAATAAAAGGTGGGATAAGGTAGTCCCACCTCTACATATTTTCAGTCTCTGCATATCCCCATCTCTCACAGTGGTTCTGATCAATCTGGAAAAGACTTCTGAGATTAAGATAAAGAGGTAAGGGGACAAGGGGTCCCTTTGCCTGATACCCCTTGAAGGAGTCACAAAACCAGAGACCTTCCCATTGACATTAAAAGAGTAAGCTGCAGATGACATACATGCAAAAATCCACTGAACAAAGATGCTATGAAAACCCATCTGAAGCATTGTTTTCACCACACAATTCCACTCTACTCGGTCATAAGCCTTCATCATATCAAGTTTGACAGCCATAAAGCATTTACTACCAGATCTATGTCTATTCAGAAAGTGGATGACCTCATGAGCAATCACCACATTATCTAGTAGCTGTCTATCAGGTACAAACGCAGACTGAGTTTCATGAATACAGAATTTAAGGCACTCTCTCAGTCTAGAAGCCAAAATTTTAGCCACAATTTTATAGGAAACACAGCAAAGGCTAATAGGTCTAAAATGATTAAGAGAGACAGGGTTATCAATCTTTGGGATTAAAGTGACTACAGTGTGATTCCAGCTAGTGATCATCCTTCCAGATTCAAAAAAATAAGCCACCGCATCACAAAGATCCTCTTTCAGAATAGGCCAAAAATGTTGATAAAAGAGAGGGGTCATGCCATCATTACCTGGAGCCTTATTTGGATTCATAGAGAACAGGGCAGCCTTCACTTCTTCTTCCTCCACTGAGGCAATCAGAGCTTCATTCATAGATTCAGTGATTGATTGAGGAATTAATGGTAGCACTTCAGCCTCCCCCCATGATCCTTCAGATTCAAACAGTTGTTGGTAAAAATTTTTGATAGCAAGTTCAATCTGCTCCTGGGACTCCACCACTTGATTCTGCTCCACCACCAGCCTGTCAATTGCATTTTTCTTCCTTCTTTGCATAGTCATGGCATGAAAAAATTTTGTATTCTTGTCGCCTTCCCTCAACCACTGCAGCCTTGCCTTTTGACTCCAGAAAACTTCCTCTGATAAATGTGATTGGTCGAGCTCTTGCTTGATCTTCTCCCACTCATCCCAATTTCTTTGACCCCCTTACTTCCTCATCTCCTCCAATTTCAATGTAAGGTCCTCAATCTTCTTGGCATTGTCTGATTTGAATAGTTTATTCCACCTTATAATGGCCATTCTTGTCTTCTTGATCTTCTCTCTCACCTTCACCATGGGATTCCCCTCCACCACCTCACTCCAAGCCTGTTCTACCTCCTCAGAACACCTCTCCATCTTCAACCACTTCTTATCAAACACGAATCTCTTGAAACATTTCGGTCTTTGGGTACCAGTCTCCAAAATCAACAAAGAGTGGTCAGATGCACTTTTAAACTGAGAGGTCACTTTGGCACCTGGGTAAGAAGAGATCCAAGCAAAGGAACCAAACACCCTGTCAAGTTTCTCCTCCACAAAGCCTTCCCCTTGCCTGTTGTTGCCCCAAGTATATGAGTATCCCTCCATTTTGATCTCCATCATACCCATATTAGCACAGAAAGAATTGAAATTATCAAAGCTCCTCTCAGATCTCACCCTTCCTCCTCTTTTATCACTGCTTCTCCTAATAGCATTCCAGTCTCCCCCAATGCACCATCTATCTCCCCATAATCCTTTGTCAGTCTCTAATTCCCTCCACTGCAGCTCCCTGACATGGCTATCTGTACTCCCATAGACAAAAATCATCCACTCAGGTACAACCACCTCCTCAGACTTATACTTCACCTGAATACAAAAAGAATGAGTAACAATTTGAAGCACTTCCACCTCTCTACTCCACATCAGCATTAGACCTCCACTTAGACCCCGAGGCTCAACAATGATTCTCCTCTCAGCAAACCCCAACTTCTTACATACTGTCTCCATAAAAAACTTAGTTTTTCTAGTCTCAGATAAAAACACAAAACTGGGGAGGTGGGCCTTAATGGCTTCCTTGATTAAGGAGACTCAATATTTAATGGTCATAATAGTGGATTTATTTATTTATTTAAATTCATTATGTAATTAATTATTATTTATGCATGTTAAATAATTATGTTCTTACATGGGATTGATTTAGTATTGCAAGAATAATTATGCATGTTAATTAGTTATGTAATGCATAGGATTAATTTAGAATTCTATCAATAAATTATGCGTGATAATTAATTAGTGCCCTGGCATAGATTAATTTAGAATTGCATGAAATTATTGTACATGATAATTAATTATTATATTTACATAGATTAATTTAGAATTGCATAAGTAGTTAAAAATCCTCATTAAATTATACTAAGTTTGAGAAGGGATTTTAAATTAAAGTTAATTGTAAAATTCCTAAGGCCTCCATTTCTATTTTGTCGGTAAATCAATTAATTGTGGTAATGGGCTCCCCCACGAGTGACATTGCTAAAATTAATTGTAGAAAGTTATCAGGACGAATTTCTAAAATTAGACGGTTAGAGGAAATCTCAAGAGAGAGCACGAGCCTCCCCACGGGGAACGTGTAATCAATTTGGACGACCTCAGAATCGAGAAATGGGATTCACTTAGAATGCGATTTATTTATAAACTCCCCACGGGGTCCTTGAATTTATTGCATGGCCAAATGGAGACCGACCATTAATTTTGTTTGTTATGAATTTGGTTTTGACTTATGAAAATTAATGGGCCCTTGAAGAGCCCTTCTCTTACAAAATGCGAGTTTGTAGGACGACCCACGTAGCATGCATTCTCACAAGGTGTAATAGATGTCGGTGAATTTAGTTAATATTGTTTTGAGGATATCAATATTAAAATTCAAATGTGTTTAATCTGTAAAATTATTTGCATGATTCTCAGGATATTCATCATGTCGTTCAATCCGTTGTCTATCCTTCTAAAAGAAAATCAACTTTTACTGGTCCTAATTACATTGATTGGAAGAGGAAATTAGACATAGTGTTGACTTCTGAGGATTATAAGTTTGCTATCACTGATGTTTGCCCGGCAGTGCTGGCGGCTGATGCTCTTGAACATGAGAAAGAGAAGTATGCTCGGTGGAAGAAGGCTGATGAGATGGCGAAGTGTTACATTCTGGCTTCTATGTCAAATGTTCTTCAACATCAGCATCAGTCTAAGGACACTGCAGCAGATATACTGCTCAATCTCAGGGATCTGTTCGGACATCAGTCTAGGGCTACTAGGCAAGAGGCTTTGAGTGCTCTGATGAGTATGCGCATGGCCGAGGGCACACCCGTAAGGGAGCACGCAGGGTTATGGTTCAGCTCAATGAGCTTGAGGTTATGGGAGGTTATATTGACGGGGAAACTCAGGTTGATATTATGCTCCAGCCTCTGTCGAAGAGTTTTGATCAGTTGCGGTTGAACTACAACATGCACAAGATGCATACGGCTCTTCCAGAACTGCTTGACGAGCTTCAGTCGGCGGAAGCCTTATTCACTCAGGCACCTCAGGTGTTAGTCGCCAAGCAGAATGTATAGGAGATAGTTGATTAAAAGTGACTGAGTTAAAATTATGATAGTGGATGAATAATGAATTAAAGTTAATGTGATATGTGAAAAAATGATTGATATTAGTTAATTATATGGAGTCATCGGATGACTCCCTTATGAAGCCACTCATATCTTATGTATTGACACGTGTCCAATATGTATTTATTGCAGGACACGTGTCAATACACCATTTATAGATAACTATAGATGACTTCATAATCTGAGTCATCCGATAGCTCATAGTAAAACCGGATATTAATAATGTCCAGTACAGTTGGATTACGTTGAAGTGGTTGAAAAAAGTTGAATTACATTGTATATATTCAGGTACCACCTTACTAAACCTTTCGCATCTTATTTTCACATTTCCTGATATTGACCTGCCAGCCAATGTTTTGACCAAAGGCAACAAATTTAAGTCGTCTAAACAAGGATGAAAGAATGCATATCTAAAGTCCTTTGTAATTGGAATCGTGCATAAGAAAGAAAACACTCATTGATTATGTTCGTGGCCGACCGAATCCCCCAAATTATTGCATAAAAAAGTTTAAATGGTTCAATCCTCAGATTCATAAATAAAAACATATTTTAATTTATAATGCTTTTTAGAATTTAATATTCTTTTATCAAATTATATATTTTTGTGAAAAAATGTGTCTCATTGAAAAACGAGGTACCAATATTCCAAGTTAAATGTATACTCCATGCATTTCATATTATTTCGATAAATGTCAATTTTTAACTGCCAACAATGTATAAAATAAAGTCACCATCTCTTCTATGTAGAAAATACTAATTCTACCAAGAAATGTGCTCAAATGAGAATGAGTTACAGTGAAAGAAATAAGAATAAATGCAGCCTTTAGATCTAACAAATTAATGGTCATGATGGAGTCAAAATTATTAATTAAAGTCAAACTCATTAAGGGTAATTTAGTCATTCAACACTCATTAAGGGTATCTTTGTCATTAACAATAAACTTAATCACTAATGGGCCCACCACAATCAACCTAAATATCTCTCTTTCATTTTCACACACACACACACTGAACTCACGCCACACACACACACACACACACACAGAGTACACACACTCCACCAACAGTCAACGCCGGTCAGATCCACCGGTTCAATCGCCGGCGACCGAGAGAATCGCCGCCGCAACCGTCTCCCGTCACCAGCCGCAACTGACTCTCGGACTTCCGGCGAAGAGGGCATCCAACACGGCAGAGTAGAAATTGACGGCTCGGTGCCAATTGCGGGTCGCCGCGAGATTATTTTCCGGCGGCAGAGGCGGAGGAAGATGAACGGAGATCTGTGTTCGACAGAGAGTTGGCAGCTACCGGGCGTCAAGGAAGGAGCGAGAGGCTTCAAGCTCTCCGTCTCAGACGCTGAACGTCAGTAGTGCACGCGGCTGAGAAGGTGACGCGGATAGAGATCGGGCGGCGGCGGGCGGCGGGCAGATGGCGACGGTCGGAGGGCGTTGGTTGATTGCTGAGTGACGGGAATTTATTGTGATGCAATTTATTTTTTTGTTTAGGGATTTATCATTGAGAATTGAACAAGTTTGAGGGACTTGGATGTAAATTTTTAATTTTTTTGTATTTTAATGTGTGGCATTATTGTAATTTATTAAAAATTTAACAAATGCACATTAATGACATAATCAATGCACAATATTGTGGGTTAAGATGCACATTAAAAAATACATCATAATTTTATTAAACTACATAGTTTTCACTTATTATTGTTCGGTCTGTTTGATTGTTTTGGCCGACTAAATAAGAATGTCGATATATAATTGAAATATTCAAACTTTTAAAAGTAAAAAATAGATAATTAAATCGAAATATAAAAAATTCGAACCGAAAAAATCTTAGTTCGATCGTTCTCGATCAATAGTGTGCAGACTACTAGACATTAATATGCAATCTAATAGTCACTAAGGTGCAATTCACACAACCATATTGTGCACCCATTATACAAAAAAAAAAAATATTTTTCATATTATTCGATTATTTTAAAAAAAAATAAAGACGGCATCGAACTGAAACATCCGTGATTTAAGAGCATCTCCAATGGAGATTGTGATGTATAACATGGAGAAAGGGAATTAAATTTTTTTGTCTCCAATGGTTAGTGTTAATCGTAGTGTCATTTGTGATGTGTAAAATTGTAATTGGTTGGAGAAGAAAGATAAATTGAATAAATAATATAATATATTATAGAAGTTGTTTAGAAGGACTTCTACATCTAGAAAGCATTCTAGACATTTTTCAGGCCACGTCAGATTTTTTATGTCATGTGGCAGCAATGGAAAGACCATTGAAGATGCTCTAAGTAAAATACAGATAACCGAATCGAAATATAAAATTTCGGTTATTTCCATTATTTTAAAAAAAAAGTTAAAACCAAACCAAACTATAAAAATAATTTATTTAGTATTTATAAAAACTAAATTATTATTTATACTATAAAAATATATTTAATATTTGTTATTTTATATTATTTTTTAGGTTGAAAATATATATTAATAAAATATTAAAACCAATAATGTGCATCCCCGTAGGCAATAATGTGCATATCTTATAATATTATTATGCAGTATATCGAACCCGCGTATGTTTAATGTTCATATTTGTTTACAATTGTGTACAATTATATAATAATATTATGCATTTAATAGATTAGATTTTTTTATATAAATTAATATTTACCTCCATGAATTAGACTGCAATATATTTATTAGTATTCATTCAAAATAATTTATTATTTATACTATAAAATATATTTAGTATTTAATATTTTATACCAATTTAGGTTGAAAATATATATTAATAGAATATTAAAATCAATAATGTGCATTCTCGTAGGAAATAATGTGCATTTCGTATAACATTATTGTGCATTCTATCGAAGCTGAGTATGTTTAATGTTCATATTTGTTTGCAATTGTGTACAATTATGTATCAATATTCTTAATAGATTAGATTTTTTTTTATAAATTATATATTTACCTCCATGAATTAGAGTGCAATATATTTAATCTTCTGAAAAATTGCAAATTGGTCCTATAATGTACCTAATTTTCACTAAAATAACCGTAGCCCCCAAATTAGGGATTCATCACCTAACAGCACCCCTTCTGCCACCCCTTCACCCATTACACCACCACCGGCCACCGAACCGGCTGTTCCATTGCCGGAGCCACTCGATGGTGGTTTGGGGGCCACCGTCAGCCGCGCAAAGTCGCTTGTCACCGCCGAATCTTGTCTGCGGAAGTGCAACAGTGGTTTGGGGGACACCGTCATCCGCACAAGGTCGCTTGCCGGGAAGGACCTCCACCAGAACTGGAAATCGTGCGACGACGGAGGCGCCGATGAGCCGCGCAGAGGAGGTCTGGTGTGCGGGCCGGCGTCGCGCAGCAGCAATTGGATTACAGTGGAGACAGAGGGCTCAGTCGGCTCTGCGATGGAGATTGACGGACGACGGCTGGTTCTGGAGTTGGAGCGGCGGCGGACGTGCAGCCGCCGGAGGAGCCGAAAGCTGGTGACGGGAAATCAGGGTCTGTATTTGTGGAGCACACCGTCAGGAGAGTGTGTGTGAGAGAGAGAGAGAGAGAGAGAGAGAGAGAGAGAGAGAGAGAGAGAGAGAGAGAAGTGGGAGGTGGTGGGACGTGTAGGTGGTTAGGTGGGGTCCAGGTGGATGGTGGTATTGAGTAAATTATCGATAATCGGTTTTACTATGAAGCCAACAGTTGGCTCCATAGTGGAGCCAACCTTCTATATACAACAAGTAAACCTACCATATTCTCTAATTATTTAATTAACACTAATATAATTTTATTAATATAGTATGTTTATTTATTGTATATAGAAGGTTGGCTCTACTGTGGAAGCAACTATTGGCTTTATAGCAAAACCGTATCAATAATATCCTTAATGAATGTACAAGAGTTGTTTTTTATATCCATTAGATTATTCGATCCGATGGATATGATATATTCTTATTTCTTTCATTCAGCACAATTCTCACTGGAGTGCATCCCTTCTACCAAAACATCAATTTGGAACAAAATAAAGCATGAGAAAATAACAACGTACATTTATATCTAATTTTGAACGCTATACAACTAAAGAATAAACGCTAAGGAATAAAATCGATGGCCGAAATTTATTGTATCAGTATATTTTTGGGTTATCAGCATCTTGTGGATCCATCATATATGTAGTCAAGAACAGCAATCACTCCAAAAATAAAAGCTTGATCTATTCCAGCTTTTATTTGGACATAGTACAAATCCCTGCTTGTCATCACTTGTTGCACCTCTTTCTCAACACCAATCTGCCAATAAAGAAAATTAGCTTCATTGCGCTCCATTTTATTACATATTATATATTGTTATTATGGTTAATTAAGAAATAAAATACTCCTATAGCTCCGAAAA